CCACATTATTAGTGAAATATCATAGGCTGTATGGCAGTGGTGGGATTCAAAACATTTTACTACCGGTTCTGTGGGCGTGGCTTGGTGGGCATGGCATGGCTTCCTGTGCGTGGCAGGGGAAGGATACTGTAAAATCCCCATTTCCTCCTGATCAGATGGGACTCGGGAGGCAGAGAATAGATGGGAGCGGGGCCAGTCAGAGATGATATTTACCGGTTTTCCGAACTACTCAAAATCTCCACTACCAGTTCTCCTGAACTGGTCAGAACCTGCTGAATACCACCTCTGCTGTATGGCAAGACTTGTGCAGGAGGAAGGGGAAAAACATTATTGTAAAAAGTTGTTTGGCAGGGAATCTTGCTGCAGTTAACAAGACATGAGGATAAACCCTGCCTTGTGCATTGAATTGTCTTTCTCTTGCTAACATATTACTCCCACGCCTTTAATTATTAGCTCCTGTAACTGGAGCTGTTAAAATCTTAGTAATTTTAGCACAAATAGAGGTGATAGTCCTAGAAAACAGCACCAGGAGGCAACCATTAGAAAATATCTATATCTCCTCGTCTTATTTCATTGCATTTATCTCATCCAAATGCTTTTAATTCATGCCTCGTGTCGGGATGCTTGCAATTTAAATGGACAGAATAGGCATTCTGGGTTCCTCTCCTTACTCATGCTGTCTACAACTTCCTTCCTTCATTGATCTGAAAACAAGCCTCCAGGTGTGCCACTCAGCTGGAAGAAGAGACACATGATCTTTCTTGTATTCCAACAAGTTCTAACATAAAGCATAAATTCTGAGATCTCACTAAAAGATTATGCATCTCAAACTGTTTGCTTTTAGGAATAAATATTTTTTTCTTCCATCACAGTTGTCCGGATCTCATTTTTATTCATTCTTGTGCAATCCTGGCTTGAGTTGGAACCCCAAATTATTCATCTGACACTCTTGATCCCCATTTACCTTGCAGTCCTAATTTCAGGTGACCAGATTTTCAGATTGGTAAAGAGGGACACCTTTGAATTTTCATACAACGCAAAAATAGTAATGTAATATTTTTTTAATTTCAACATAACTACAATTTACAAATATAAATTGTAACTGTTGCCAAACATCAAAATTTTGATCACGTGACCATGAGGATGCTGCAATGGTCGCTAAGTGTGAAAAATGGTCATCAGCCACTTTTTTCAATGCCATTGTAACTTTGGTCACTATACCACCTTTCTTGCCACAGTTCTTAAATGAATAACTACAGCTGGTATTTTGTATTTTGGATA